TTATTGGAGACAGGGTCTCGCTATGCAGTTTGGGCTGGCCTTGCGCTTACTTTTGTAGTCCCCAAACTGGTCTGAACCTGCAGAGATCCTCCTGGCTCACCCTCCCGAGTGCTGGGACTACAGCAGTGCGCCACCATGCCCGGTTCAAGGGCCGCACAGTGGGTGCCCGGGATCCAGGCCGAGACCGCAAGGCATGCGGGGCCAAGGATCAGACCCGGGTCCTTATGCTTGCCAGGTCAGTGTTTATGCCTCTGAGCTATCTCCACAGCCCCCATTTTAGCAACTTTTCAAATTATCTTATTTTCCTCAATTTGATATGATCCTAATTCTACCTAAATATTTTTAATTAAAAAACTAAATGCCTCTACATGTTAAGAAACCTAAGAAAGAGAAGAACTCTTTGAGACTCTCTTTATTTCTTTTTCTGTTTTTTAAACATTAAAAATTAAAAAAACAAACAAAAAAACAAAAAACCTCCAATGCTGCCCAAATAGCTCAGTGGATTAAAGCGCCTGCAAGCAGGCACAGGAGCCAGAGGTTCAATCCCCAGGCCTGCCATGCCAGCTCCCCGGGCGGGCGCACTGAGAAGGCAATTGAGACTGGGCGTGGTGGCACACGCCTGTAATCCCAGCTCTTGGGGGGCTGTGAACAGGCGGGTCACTGTGAGTCTGATCTAGCAGTGAGACCTTGAACACCCTTGTGGACCTTTCCCTAAAGTACAAAAGGAACAAACAAACAAAAAACCTCCAAAAAGTTGGGTGTGGATAGAGAACAAGGAAAATCAATTTTCTAGCCTCCCTATCATTTATATTTTTTGAGAAAAGAACAAGTTTTTTCACAAGATTTTTTTTCCTTGGCATATACTTACTCTTTCATGCCATACACAGTTCAGAAGTGCTTGAAATTAGCTATGCTCATGATAGTATATGTCCAGACTTTTATCAATAGTTACAAAGAAAAAACAATTTGTGTAATATGAAATACAATAATTTACTAAATCATATAAGGGGAGGTGAGCATACTCTTTTTTTTTTTAATTTTTTTTAAATTAATTTATTTATTGTGTGTGTGTGTGTGTGTGTGTGTGTGTGTGTGTGGCCAGCTCAGCCCACCAGGGGGCGGCGCTGGCTGGCATGTGGTGCTGGGGGATTGAACCGCGGTCCCTGATGCTTTGCTAAGCTTGTTCTAAGTAGGTGCTTTAGACCACTGAGCCATCTCTCTAGCCCAGGTGAGCATACTCTTAAAATAGTATTATTTATGGTAGTGCTTTTTTAAATGGTACTCTATTATCTGCTTTATAATTCTGGAGATGACTATTTGTATGTATGGGAGTAACTGAACACAGCATACGAACCCGGAGTGATGTTCAGCTCATTTCCTACAGCGAGGCTCCAAACTTTCCCGCGGACCCTAGGGGGCAAGCCCCGCCACCACAGCTCTCGCACTCTTCTTGTGCTGCGCCTAGAATTAAAGGAGGCAAGAAGAGGAAAAAGTTACTGTTTATACCATAATACTACTTGCATGATGGTTTACCTATAACCAAGTGACCAGATGATTTTTAAGAACAAAGAAAGTTAAATATGTAGTGCATTCTTCCTCTGATTTTCATGTTTATAAGCAAGAAAAGCCTACAAAATATATATTACCTAAAGAAAAACAATAGGGGAACTACCCGCCAGGCCCCCCTCCTGTTCCTCTCTTCGACGGGAGCTTTCTTTCTCTCAATAAATATATTCTGCTCAAAAAAAAAAAAAAAGAAAAACAATAGTACTTTAAAGGGAACTGCCTTTGAGAGATGCTATTTATACAATAAAAGAATCAAAAATGTGTGGAGAATTGTCCAAAACAGGATAAAAAGGACATAAAAATGTTTTGCCATTGTATCAAATTTAAAAAAAAAATCACAAAAGAATCTTCTTTGGGGAAAGTACTAGGCTTTGAGGGGCAGTAGTCTATTGAATGAGTTTAGGCTTTACAGTCAGATTTGAGTTCAAATCTAGTTTAGTCATTCACTAACCTTGGGCAAATCATTTCACCTCTCTAAAATAAGCTTCTCTGTAAGATAAATGTTTGAGTAAAAATAAATATATATACTTTAAGTTGTGAGCAAAAAAGCAATTACTTGCATAAGGACCCTAAAAGAATACAGTATCCCTTTCCCCTCAGTCTGCAGGGGATAAACTCCACATCTTCTAGTGGATAGTTGAAAATTTTGCCTATGCATACATACCCATGATAAAGCTGAATTTATAAATCAGGCACAGTAAGAGATTAAGAACAGCAACCAATAATAATAAAAAAAAAAGTTGTAACAATAGATTCTGCAATAAAAGGTGAATGTGGTCTCCATTTCTCACAATGCCTTTTCACTTAAAGGACAGCATCTAAACTGCCAGCATACCTACATTTGAGCTTGGGGCCACTGCTAAGTAAAATAAGGATTATTTCAACACAAGCACTGCAACAGCATGACCTAACAAATGAAACTCTACTAACTAAGAGGAAGACAGTGGATACAGCATGGATATGCTAGTCAACAGGGATAATTTATAGCCAGGGCAGAGCATAATTTAAAATTAATAAATTATTTATTTCTGTAATTTTCCATTTAATATTTTCAGACCCAACATGACCAAAGGTAATTGAAATGGCAGAAAGGAAAAATAAATAAAAGGGACTACTATATCTGTTACACAGCCAGTAAGTATTCAATAAATTGTCAATGTATATCCTACATCTGGCATTGCTGAGCTATCCCCACCTCTGCATCCATATAAAAAAATAGCAAAAAATTAAAGGGAAAAAAAAGCAGGAAGTACAATAGTTTCAATACTGTGACATTTTTCAGGAGAGAAAGATATAAAATATGATCTTTGATAAGGGGGGCATATTAGCATGTTTTAATATTTAAGAATTGATAAATACATCTTATCATGCATATATCTGATTTAATATGTTCTTTTCAAAAACCCGTCATTACATCAACAGTGCATCTGAGAATTAATGGCGTGTCAGAACTAAGAAAATATGTTAAGTGAAGAAACTGAAAGATTCACAAATCAATCAGTATTTTACATGGGTCTCAGAGAATAGACAAGATTTCTGAAAGGCACAGAGGATGGTGTGACAAGTATATATTCGAGTCTGAGGGTTTTATAAAAGCAAAGGCATAGAGATAAAAATGGGGACATTTTTAGGCACTGTTTAATAGCATAATATAGCAAAAGTGTAAGATACATGGTGATAAGTAATAAAAATATAAAGACAAGATTTTTGGAGACAACCTAAAATTTAGCATAAGTTTGCTTACTTACATTACTTCCCAATTGGGCAGTATTTCATTGATCCAAATTACCATTGCATTTGCAATATTTTCTTCCTGTTCAAATCGCTCTTTCATTATTCTTTTTCTTTTATGTGCTTCTTTAATTTCTGTTTTAAATAAGTGAGAATTATTTTCAATACAAATGAGTTAAATTAAAACCCCTTCTTCTACTTAACTCTATAAAAGAAGATTTCTCAAGTATCCATCTCTGGACAGAAGAAAGGAAGAAAAGAGGAAAGAAAAGAAAACAAAAATGATCATATTAATATGCTCTTAATACCTTAAGTGGAATAAACACAAAAAATGACTTCAGTGAACTGTTCTATCATATATTTCTTTTACTTAAAACAAAGGTATAATTTGTTATAAATAAAGTATGTAAAAAATAAACACCTTGAAAATCTAATGATTACCCATTTTTCATACAAGCAGTTTAAGAATCTCCTAACATAAATCATGACATTAAAAATGGTTTTGGGGGCTGGGATAGAGCCTAGTGGCACAATCTCCTGCTTGGCAAGCGCAAGGTCTTTAAAGTTTGATTCCCAGTATCAAAAAGAAGTTAAAAATGATTTTTGTTAATGGTACTAATAGTACATGAACCCTTTTTAGTATATTATGAGAGAAATAAAAAATTTCTTCCAAAAAATACATATACAAACAACTCTAGAAACCAATGGCCACAATTTTGGAGGAGCAACCTCAAATACTATAGAGAATTGAGTTATACCTCAAAAGTGGTATGTATATAATTCTAGAACCAGGGAGGACTTTGGAGAATTGCTAGCTAGCAAAACTGTTTTCAAATGATGTTTTGTATATTTCTTAGAAGTTATCTTCACAGGCAAGTCAAGTAAGCAATTTTACCAGCTTTTGTTTTATGTATTCAGATTCTATGTAAGATGTCTTGGGGGAGTCCACTAGTTAAAAAAACAATAAAATGTGTTGAAGGAGAGGCTTAAAAAACTTATCCAGTAAACATCCTACCACTAGGCCTATTCAAAATACCTGAATGAGTTAATTTTAAACAGTATTCAAGCTATAGCCTTTTTTATTTTAATTTTTTTGAGAAACAAATATGAATGAGACATTTTCAAAGCTGATTAACAGGACAGTTTCTACAATCAATACATTGTACATTGTTATCTTCTTAGTGGTTATCCATACCACAAGAAGCAGACAGGATATCCTGTCTCCCATCCAAGTACTAACCAGACCCGACCCTGCTTAGCTTCCGAGATCAGACAAGATCAGGCATGTTCAGGGTGGTATGGCCGTAGACAGGATATCCTGTCCAAACACTATTAGTAGACCTCTTTCTTCTCATTGAATTAAGTGAAAGTAGCTGTATATCCTATTTTGTATATATAAATACAAAATGATCTTTCTTTTTTATCCCCTTTTTTGTTTAGTCCTGTCAGAGGTGGATATTCTACTGTCACCTAAATACTACAGGTGTTTGAATTCAGCAAAACAATCCAACAGTGTCTAGCAGTCTATAATATTAGTGGGTTATCCTCAGAAGTTATTGACTTGAGCCTTTTACAGCTCATCGTATTAATATGGCTTTACTTTATATACCTCGTTTTTATACTTTTCTGCTGAATGGTTAAGACCAAGATAAAGCAAGACCTATGTAACAAGAAATGTAAC